TGAACTGTTGATATTATTTTATGTTACATATTTATGTTAAACTAATATAACATAATAGCGTCAAAGAATTACAAAGACAATTTCAGGATCACTGATAGTAGTAGTAATCTCTCCACCAATCATTCCACCATAATTTAGCTTCTTCTTTAATCAAAAAAAGACACAGAATAATAAATAAAACAATAATGAATCCAGGTTGCATTTACTGGATTTACTGAGGAGGGTAAGTCACTGCAGACTACGTGATTTTTATGTTGTGTCTGTTCCATTAATAACTAACAGTGCAATCAAAGAAAGAAGTTTTGGTCTCAAAAGCATTAAATTATAAAATTAAATTGAAAAAAGAACAGAATGTCCTTGATAAAATAGCTTGTCTTTTTATTGAATAAATCTAATCATATTATAATATAAACAAAATTATTCCCACATACGAGGGACAGAAAAGTGTAAGGTTGAATCAAATAATAATTTTGAATGTTTGATATCCAAAATCAAAACATTGCGGTATGTTTAAAAAACATGCAGATGGATAAGATAAACTCAAGGAAGACAAAATCATCACCACACAAAGCCACTCCTGACATACCTTTGACTTCTCAGGAGAAAAGAATGAGGTGATATACACAAACCAATGACAGAGCCAGGCCAAACTTTAGTTGTAACAAAATGTAACAAAATGTAACTAATCTAAAAATCTAAAAAACAAACAAACAGGAAACTGACAGGAGTTTGCTATTTGGCTTTTGAATACTCTTGTGGTGGTACAATATAGTAATAAAATATTTATATACTGTGAGGACCAATTTCTTAATAATAATAAATAAGAATGGTGGTATATGTAGATTACATTGTAAGGGATGCAGACGATTGTCTAGCTCTACAGCACATGGACATCAAACAACCTCTATGATAATCTACTGAGGAGGCCTCACAATCTTGCTGCAATTTCCTTTCCTTTCCTTTACTTTCTTGATCCTGTTATCCAGTCATGATTTAAAAAGAATCTCAGCTGTTTTTATGTTTAGTGTTTAATTCATTTACTGATTGTCCTTTAATATAATTAAATTATAATTGAGAATGGCATTAAAGAAAACATACAACATCTGGGCAGTGCTACCCTACAAGCACACTCTTTAGCCCATCCATTCATTTTCATTACTTCCACTTGATTGCCCAATCAAATCTCTTAACA